CCTCTCGTATCCTCCCCCTCTCGTATCCGCCCCCTCTCGTATCCGCCCCCTCTCGCATCTGCCCCCGGCCGCTACAAATCCGCCTCCACCCAGGCTGATTTATAAACCCCCTGCCGGTTCACTGCAACCACAGCAAAATGCACATGGCCGGGTGCCGCCCGCTCTATTTCACATGACCCGCATTTTACTGCGGCGAGCGGCTAGCCCTAAATCACCGATCACCGCTCGCTGATCTGTCTTCGGCTGCCAGCTTGGGTATTAATCCCACGGGGCCACGCCCACGTCTCTCCGGCCCGCATCACTCCCACCTGCCTCTGCTGCGTAAGACAGTTTTGCAGCAGTTTCCAAATTATTGGTTCATAAACGTTCACAAGTATCTCAGCCCTGCCTTTGAGGTCATGCTCTGTGTTTGCAACACTCTAATAAAAGCCAGAGTTTTTTTTCCAGAGTTATGACATGAATGATATATTAACTAAGTGCTTTATTAGCGATTGAATTATTTTAGTTTTCGTTCTGACGAATCCCCAGTCCTGTAATCATAATAAATGACCTTGTCCCACAGGTCTATGTAATGGACGTGCTTGAATAATGTTCCCCCCAGTTTATCTATCCATCCCTTCCCTGCTTTCTCAGAGCGGTTCTGGTCAGTCTCCGCATCCTGGCAAACATACTGGTGCTGCTGTCTCTGGCGGGCAGCATTTACATCATTTACTTCGTGGTGGACCGCTCGCAGAAGCTGGAGCAGGAGAAGCCAGAGTTGACGCTTTGGGAGAAGAACGAGGTGGGCAGATACGGACGTGGCGAACGCCGTCGGCGCTCTGCGGTTTCCCCTCGTCGGTGAAGTGCATGTACTCAGCTGGAGTTCCATAATTAGGAGGCCCGGGGGCCACAGATGCAGGCCAGCTACCCAGATGACTGGCCTACAGGCAGAGATAAAAGCCATACGATGGTTAGAAAGCACTCCTGCCATCTGCAGTCCCTCCCAAGTCCCTTTGTCCGTTCCTTGGGAATCTTATGTAGGGAGATGGAAAGTTCAGGTCCAGAAAGTACAAATCCAGACCAAGATTTTGTTTCAACCAAGCAGCTGAATATAAAGCGTCACAGTGAGTACTCAGCTGTGTGTTTGAAAGGCTGAGTTTTACTCATTCGGCGCATGCAGTTGGAACAGAAGCAGCATGAACTACGCAGGACCTGCTCCATGTTACAGAGGCAGCACCTCTTGTAGCATTAGACCTCACAGCTTTTTGCTTGGTCTAACTACTAAGATACCATCTGCCCCAGTCCGGTCTGGTCCATTCTGTGTGCCCCTTAGTACCTCTTCCATAAACTCAGTTCCATATTTTACCTCTTAAATGTCTTGAACCTAAATGCTAGACTGTCTGTTCTATGTATGTTCCAGTTTAGTTTTGCCAGCCTAAAACAGGGGTGGGCAATCTTATCCACAAAGGGCCAGTTTTGGGATAACCTGTAGGTCAGCTGTTATTACCCAGGTGTGAGGACTCTTCAGCCAATCAGTCCTCTAATTAGTAATCTAATTAGGGAATTGCAGCAAAAACCTGCACACACAATGGCCCCTTCCGGATAAGATTGGTCACCGGTGGCCTTCTTGGTGCTGACTTTTCCAGGTGAGCGTGGTGGTCTCACTCATCACCATGATCGCGCCGTCTGCTTTCGAGCTGGTGTCCCAGTTGGAGATGTACCACCCCAGGACCAGCCTCAGGTTCCAGCTGGGAAGGTGAGCGGAAGCTGGAGTGGAGAGCAAGGTGGACACTAACCATGAATAAACTCAGGCCTGACACCTGACTATGTGTCATTCTTGCTGCGGTTGAAATGCCTGTTTCGTTTATCTCACCAGGGTTTTGGTGCTTTACCTGGGAAACCTTTACAGCCTGATAATCGCTCTGCTAGACAAAGTGAACAGTATGAGCTCAGCGGTATGTAGCTATCGGACCCTTGATGTATACATTTTGTCGATGCCTTTTCTGATGGCTGACATAATGTTCAGTCCAGCACACAAAGGAAATCTGCATTCCTTTCTGTGCGCTTATGGTGGCAGTAACAGTAACGATGGATCAAAACTTGCAATTCGGCAACTTACCACTAGGTGGTATAAATGCAATAACGGTGAACGTTTTGGGCTCAGCATCTGTTTTTTCTTTATATTAGCTGGTGCTACGTCTGATTAAACGGTCAGAACATTTTATCTATTCATTTGAGGTGTGAGGATTGTGGTGATATTTTTTTAAAATTTAATTTAACGTATTGCATCAAGATAGAAATAAATGAAACCATTTTGACTATATGGGAAGGTCAAAAGTATCTCCTGCATACACTCAGGTTCCCGTTGCTCCTGGGAATTGGTCTGACTCCTCTGGATTCCTGGCAACCATTTCCCTGCCTATAGAGGAGAACCTGTCCACCATTGTGCCTGAGATCTTGGATCGGAGGAACTCCACGCCCAGCCTGGTCCTGGAGCCCAGCAGGATGAGAAGCCCCGTGTCGGTCCTCCTTAACCAGACGGCGCTGTACGAGTACAACATGCGCTCCCAACAGGACCAGTGCTGGGAGACGTACGTCGGGCAGGTAGCCCCGCTTCTCACTGCAGCCCGGCCTGCCCCTTTTACGCCACTTTCACCTTTTCTAAAATAACTCTATTATCGGTCTTTGCAAACATCCTACATGATACAAATGAACCCTGCTAACTGAATTAAAACCACGGATATCCAGTCTGTGTCCCCGCTGTAAAGCTACACTCGCATCTTCCTGAAAAATGGTGGTTATTGAGTAGTTTCTAAAAGCATTATGTTGACAGGTGAAATGAGAATGTATTACCAGGCGGTAATTATTGTCTCCCGCTTGGAAACGTATATGGGCTGGGGAGGGCTGCCGGGATGATGCTTCTTTAATGACATGGCAGAGTGGATTTAATGGCAGATGGATCGTTTTGTTTATCTAACCCCTAAATACTGATTCCCCAGCCGCTTGAGCTCAGTTGGAAACAGTCCAGAGGATCCCCCCCATTCTGAGTGGGAAAGTGAGTAGGATCATGTGTGATAGGCATTGGAGCAAGGAAGAGGGACTTAATTTGGAAGAGCGCCTGACATGGACATATAGAAAAGAGGTAGGGAGAATTAAACTAGAGAAACCTGTGTATCCATCAGGTTTGAGAACATGCAAAAGGAAAAGGGCTTTGGCTCGCAGGTGGGCATGACGGACTGTGTAGGATTCCCGGGATAAGAGGATATGGAAAAAACTCTCTTTTATAAAGCCTGAGAATAAGGAACAGGGGAATCGAACGGGCTCGCTGTTTGTGGCTGTCTTGCATGCAGAGATATCAATAAATTCCAGCCTTTTTTCCCGGCTGTACAGGAAATGTTAAAGCTGTCCATCATCGACATGATATTTACCGTGGCCAGTATCTTACTCATCGACTTCATTCGCGGCCTCTGCGTCCGTTACCTGAGCGACTGCTGCTGCTGGGATCTGGAGAGCAAGTTTGTGAGTGTGGCGGCTTTAGCGGCCTCTCGCCCCCGCAGGCAGAGTCCCCCAGACCCCCCCTCCGCTCACCCTCTACCATGCCGCTGTTTATTTACAGCCAGAATACGGAGAATTCAAAATCGCTGAGAACGTCCTTCACCTGATATATAACCAGGGGATGATATGGTAGGTGACGGATTACGGTTTGTATTATTGATGGGATGGAAGATTAGAGTTAGAGATGCTTAGAAATGTTCTGCTGCCCATAGTAACTCCCCTGGGTGACAGAAATATACCCCTTAGCATCACATTTTTGATATTGGTTCTTTACTGGTATCTAGTGGCCTCTGACCTTTGTCTGTGTCTTAATGCAAAGCCAGATGTCTATTGACATGTTTCAGGTCAATACGTTAGGAGCAAGTGCTTATCTGTGTATTCGTATTTGGCTGCTTCTCCTAAACGTTTATTCTGCTCAGGGGTGTTGTGTCCTCGTGAACAATTAATTGCCTGCTTTGACTTTATGGAATGGAAAATGAAGTCGGCGGGATTATCATCACATGCTGTAAATCCTGCCCTAAACCCCCCCCCCCCCCCCCCCCCCCCCCCCCCCCCCCCCCCCCCCCCCCAGGATGGGTGCCTTCTTCTCCCCATGCCTGCCAGCCTTCAATGTGCTCAAGCTCATCGGCCTGATGTACCTGCGCAGCTGGGCCGTGCTGACCTGCAACGTCCCCCACCAGCAGGTCTTCCGGGCTTCCAGGTGATGAAGGACTAACAAATTAGCTTAGAAAATGAATAGAAAATACCTCATGTGTAGTAGTGAATACCTCATCTAAATGGTCAGCCTGTTCAGATACAAGTTCCTCTGAATAAGAGTAAATATTCGTACTATACTGTATGTCAGTGTTTCCCAAACCAGTCTTCAGGGACCCCCAGACAGACCACATTTTTGTCCTCTCCCAGTGCTCCCATACCAGGTGTTCAATGTTCTTGGTTAGCTGGAAGCTGGGAGGAGGCAAAAATGTGGACTCTTGAGGTCTCCGAGGACCGGGTTGGGAAACACTGCAGTATGTGATGTATGATGTTCCTAATACCCAAAATAAGGTTTTTTCACTGCTTGGTTGGTGACTGCAGGCCTGTTTTCCCTCACAGGTCCAACAATTTCTACCTTGCCATGCTTCTGTTCATGCTCTTCCTCTGCATGCTCCCCACGGTCTTCGCTATAGTGCGGTACAGGCCCTCACAACATTGTGGCCCATTCAGGTAAGCTGCAGATCTACAGCCCCCCCCCCCCCCCCCTACAGGCCGCAGATGCCAAGGATCTTCAGTCCATCTCTGTGGTTTTCTCAATAAGCATACTTGGCTATACTTGTCTTCTTGTATACCCGTTTTATGTAATCTTCCATTGCCGAGGACCAATTCCAACACTCAAGCACTGAAATGCCGAAGACGATAAAAATCCCCGGATGTTGCACTTGCCCTGCCTCAAATATCAAGGATACATCAGTTGCATCCTTGCCCAACGAGGCCAATCCCATGATTCATTGTACCCCAAGTTCATTCTTTGTGTTCTTGATATTGAGAAGCACTCCATGTCTCTGCTTTGCTCTTATAGCGGTCAGGAGAAGATTTATGACATCATATCAGAGACGATTTCCAACGAGTTCCCGCTGTGGTTCGGCAAAGTGATGAGCTACGTCACCAGCCCGGTCGTGGTGCTGCCGGCTCTGCTCCTGCTCTTGTAGGTTCACCGCCGCCTGCTTCCAGCACATGGCTCGTTCGGCATCCCCGGGGCGGCGTCTGACAGCTCGCTCTGTCCCTCTTTCAGCATGCTGATCTATTATCTCCAGTCCATCGCGCGGTCATTGAAATTCACCAACACCCAGCTCCGAATGCAGCTTCAGACCGTAAGTGCAAACAAGTTGGATCTCGAGGTTGTAGAAGTGGAAGAAATAGGCAGGAATAGGGGGGCGGTAGAGTGGTTCTGGACAGAAGCAGGTTCTCCTGCCCGTGTCAACATGTCACTGAAGCATCACGGGTGGTCACAGCTGCTTTGACTGTTGCAAATTTGCTCAGACAACTCCTTGACAAATTTGCTCAACACAATCTCCTTTTGTCTCTTTGATGTAGGAAAGGACAGATGACAAAAAGAAGGTTTTTCAAAGGGCTGCAGGTAACTCTGAGATCTCATGATTGAATTATTTAAGTTACCTCTCTGAGGCGTACGCACAGCCAGAGAGAGACAGGCAGGATGTGGGCTGGGCCCTGGCAGGACAGCTTGGGGGCGGAGCCTTATGAGGGCAGGAAGGAGGTGAAATAATGTGAGGGAGTGCCATGGGTGGAGCCTCCTGCTTCCTGGGGGCGGAGCCGTATGAGGGCAGGATGGAAGTGAAGTCATGTGAGGGAGTGCCATGGGTGGAGCCTCCTGCTTCCTGGGGGCGGAGCCGTATGAGGGCAGGATGGAAGTGAAGTCATGTGAGGGAGTGCCATGGGTGGAGCCTGGGACCCATCACGACCCTTGAGTCTGTCCCACTCCTCCCCCAGGCCGCCTGCAGCCTGCCGAGGTGGAAGCCAAGAAGCAGGAACAGGAGAGCGACGTCACCACTAGCCAGGAGTCCTCCGTGCGCTCCTCATCTCCCCGCCGCAATGGCAGCGTGGCCAACTTTGAGTCCCCGGTGAGGCAGGGCAACAGCATCCACACCATCACCCAGTCAGCCTCGCGCTCTGACGTCAACAGGCCCACGACCTCCGCCCAGAGTCCCTCCATCCCACTGATGCAGAAACAAAGAATGGAGCACGTGCCGAGCAGGTACGCCGTAAAGGCCCCCACCGGGGCTGATGCATATGGCAGCACATACTCTACGGCTTAGAAGGCTAGCATTCGCCATGCTAACATGACAACATGAATCATACTGACCGATTTATCAGCCACTACCAGCTACAGCAGATTTCAAGATTCAATTCTTATTTGTTATTGTACAAGACAACACAACGAGATTGAGTTAGCGTACGAAGACGCAAGACAAGACATGTAATATGTAATATTAAGGGTAGGATGTCATCCCAAATCATGCTGCAAGGTGTCAAATAAATAGATCTCCCTGAAGATATCTCAGAGATTACCTGGGAAAACATCCCTTGTGTTTCTTCCTCATGATTAGACACCCAGGATACTTTGGTGGGGCTAGTGGCCCTGGCAGGTCAAAGTCCTTCAACCAGGTGGCGTACAGTCCCTCCACCCGCTACACAGAGCACATCCACTCGGAGCCGCTGTACCGGAAGGGTCTCCGGGCCGTGCACGCGGACGCTATAGGGCTGGCTCCAGGCCCGAGCTTCGTGGGCCGACGGTGCCACACTACACGCTACGTGATCATCAACGAGCATGAAGCCCGCAAGAAGCTACTGCGCTCGTCCGTGCGGCTGCCCCGGCACTACCGCCTGGAAGACCCCGGCGACATCGTCGAGCTCTACCCACGCAACATCAAGAGGTTCGGGAGCCGCAGTCAGCACCGCTCCTTCCAGCCACACCTCTGCGAGGAAGAGGAGGAAGAAGATGCCATCAAAGTGCTACGGAGGGGCTCCTTCGGCCACAGCGACCGGCCGCGGTCGCTGTCTGACCTCCAGCCTCCTGCTCGCTTCTACATCGGAGACAAGGCAGAGAGAGACTCGGCCAGGGGGCTGTATGGACAGCACAGGGAGGGCGGCGAGGCAGGCTGGGAGGAGGATCCCTCGCCGTCCCGCTCCTACACAAACGCCAAGAGCAGCAAGCCCCACAGCAGGCCGGGTGAACTGCAGGTGAAGGCGAAGACGAAGCACAAGGCAGCGCCATCCCTCACAGAGTCTGACTCCGCCTCCGCTGCCTCCAGCAGCGACCAGCAGAACAGCAGCACCGACCAGTACATCCAGGTCATTCACAACAAGGAAAAATACTTAAAGTCAAGCGGCAAGGTAACTAAAAAGAAGTCTAAAGCCAGTATCGATTTAAATCTAACGGGATCCAAAGACCTGGTCTGCTCCAATGTCTAATGATGCGCTGCTTCCTTTGCATTGATTTCATCTGTTGTCACTGATTACAGTTTATTCTACCGAGATGTTTAATATACTGTTATGTTCAAAGTAATATAAAGAAGTGGACGATGCTGTAATTAATGTCTGAAGTAGTTGTTTTAGTTACTCAAGTTTTAGCACACCCGTGTACAAAAATTTCCATCACAATGTGAAATTGGTGTTTTTAACCTAAAATCACTGCATTTTCTAATTACTGTAATAGAAATAAAGCACATGATTGCGATTTACTGTAAACTTGTCAGATGCAGCCGTCGTGTCGGTGACTCACACTGGATTTACAAAATGCCTTTGTTCACCGTTTTTTAAAGAATGGCTGAAATTGCTGAAATCATCTTAACATTACTCTGACATTACTCTGACATTACTCTAACATCACTCTATCCATCCATTTTCCAAAACCGCTTATCCTGTTCAGGGTCCACGTGTCAGTGTAAGAAAAATGAATCCTAAATAAAGCCAAACATTCATATTTATTAGTTAAAATAGGAAGGGAACAAAAATGTCATAAAACCAGAAGTGCATATCTAGAAATCCTAGGCCCCCCTGACAAAATGTCACCTTGCGGCTCCCACTGTAGAAACTGTGAAAGGGTGGGGGGGGGTACTCACCGTAGTAGAACTTGCCAAGCATATTATTATTTTTTGCCCCCCCCTGATCTGCCCCCCTGACCTCCCTGGATAAGATCATAAGGCCAGACATCCATTTTAACTGAGCCACCACGCAGATAAGAGACTGTAAATGAAACACTTAAGGGTTGTAGATCCCAAAGCACATCAGGTGTAGTTCTTTATATACGGCTACAAAAAAAAGTTGTAAATGTAACCAAATATATGATTTAAACAGTAACCACTGTTACTAACAGATGGATTTACGCGTGGATTTTGTGAGGTTTTGCGACTGGCTGGCTTATTGTTATTAGTTTTGAAACTGCGACATCTAAGCTCTAATCACAGTGCAGAGACGGGCGCCGACCTGCTGCGGATATGATGGCGTGAACCTGCTAAATAATTCAGTTTGTGCAGCGCAGCTGCGAACACGGAGGCCAGCCGCCATCCGGCTGCAGCGTGGGGCTGCAGGATTTACCGGCACGCGCCGGGTGAATTACTACAGCCTCTTCAGGTCACAGTGGGCGTCAAACACATGGCGATTCCGTCCGGGGGGCTTGATTAACACTATCCTCTGCATTTCCTTTATTATTATGTAAATTAATTTTAATCTAACTTTGCAAACTGCCGGAAGTCGATATTTTGTTAAAGGGGGTGTTCACCCCAAAACTGAAAAGACATATATGTTTTAGAGGGGCTTTAGTGCTGTCTATCCATCTAGGTTGTTCTGCTGGGAGTTGCCTAGTTTTGGAGATATCAGCTGTAGAAATGTCAGGCTTCTCTCGAATATAACGTGAGTGAATGGCATTGTTTCTGTGGTGATTAAAGCACCAGAAAAATATATTTAAAAAAATCAGCAGCAACGTCTCTTACCAGAAATCCTGACCCAGTTACTCAAGATAATCCATAGACTTTGTAGTGAGCAGTTTAACATATTAACTATTTTCTTCTACTGAATTCCACACACTAGTCGTATCACTGTGCAGAAGATGTGAGCACGAGCTCCCCGGCGATATCCCCAATGGAGACTGGCCCCCACCTCCCCAGTCAGCAGAATATACATCCCCCCCACACACACACACACTCCAAATTTATTTCTGGCTATGGACCTGCCCCAGACAAAGTTTACCATCGCCCCCAATCCCCCTGGGTGGACAACTATGCCACTGTAGAAAATACTGGGGGGGCGGTCTGTGAAAAACTCAATTAGCCCAGGGGCCTCTGACCTTGTTAATCTTACCTTTATCCAAACATCGAAAGTTAACCTCCTTCTCTAACTTTATGGCTGTTCCTCTCAGGAGCCCTTTGCTGGCATGAGGCAGAGCGCCCTAGGCAGAGCGCCCTAGGCAGAACGCCCTAGGCAGAGCGCCCTAGGCAAAGCGCCCTAGGCAGAACGCCCTAGGCAGAGCGCCCTAGGCAAAGCGCGTTAGCCTGTCTCACATTTCTGTGT